AGTCGTCAACTTTTTCATTATCTGTTTATTAATGTCCGTCTGATTAGACGCTGTTTTAGTCATTTTAGACGCTTTGTACAGATTTGGATATTTGTTGGCATCAATTGTGCTGTCATTACTACTACAATCCATCGCTAATAGACAATGATTTGCTAATTGATGTCAATTTAAAGATTGCACACAATCTACAAATACAACCGTTTTCTATATTTAATACACTCTTCACTTCTTAGTCAACTTAATTGTTTAAATGCCACAATTGTCTGAATATAACGTATAATTTATGTAATTTATAGTTTATTGTAATTTATTTGTAATTATTTTAAATTAACAATTCAATTAATATCGAGATCAAATCTTAACCATTCAAATGTTATTGCAATCACCAATTGTTTAACACACTTCACGACTACTATTGTAGTCAATACAGAATATTTCCAATACAGACAACAAATTCGTGTATTAGTTGTCCAAACATTTCATTCTTTGTATGAAATAAATATTAATTTGAATTAAAACTAGTATTGAATTCATTTATAATATTTTATAAACTAATTTTAATTCAAATTTTATAGCTAAACATTAATTGCAGTGTAATTTAAGCCATTTTAAACCCTACTTTTAATAGTTTATCTTATTTACTTTATCATTAAATTAATTACTTAATTAAAGATTTTGTTCTGTAACTAAAATAACAGTATTAAAGTTATGTTTGTTATAAAGTTTAACTTTATTAGTCAAGTAATATTCCCTAAGGTTCACTTCATCGCTTTGAGGATCAATACCCACGAGGAAGAAGAGAATGACACTCAGGATGAATATAAATGGGAACCAATGACTGATATCACTTTTGTCGGCTGACCCTCTCTTCTTGTGTGGTTTAGTGGCGTTCGGTTGGCTCGTAGTCGGCGTTGTGGTCGACATTGTGGCCAACGTTGTGGTCAAAGCGGTGCCATTTGTTGCCTGACTGGTCGTCGACACAGTAGTGGACACGTAGTGAGTAGTGGTTTGATTGGTGACAATGGCAGTGATGTTTGAGATACCTGTCGTTTGATTCACTGTCTGTGTAGTGGTTTGTGTCGGTTGTGAGGGTTGTGGCGGTTGTGGCAGAGGAATGGCCACTAATAACTCAGTTTGAGATAAAGACCATAAGATTATTAATAGACAATACATTTCTCATTCAAATTAGTGAAAGAGTTGACAATTTTAACTGATATATGATTTAGTTGTTAAATGCCTATTATTTTGTGTTTAGTTTTTAAATAATTATTTTTTTGAATAAATAATTGCGAGAATAAACCCGAGACAAGAATTGAATGCATTATTCCCTTAACGACAGTGTATTTAAATTTAAGACAATTTCTGCTTTAATAACCGCTTATTTGATCCCAAAATGGAGGCCAAATCGAAAGAGGACCCAATGAATGAGTGGAATCTCTATGAGAACACATTCTTCGTCACCATTTGGTTGTTATCAGAGTTGGCGCTCATCTACTTCTTCACCACAATTCTCATATTCTCCGGTCTTTACGCCTATTCTTGGAGTATACAAGCGAGTGGAATCTCTATGAGAACACATTCTTCGTCACCATTTGGTTGTTATCAGAGTTGGCGCTCATCTACTTCTTCACCACAATTCTCATATTCTCCGGTCTTTACGCCTATTCTTGGAGTATACAAGCGATCGGACTCTTGGCTATAATGGTATTGATTGCAAAAAAACAGACAAACATTTAATTAATTAATGTTTAAAACACTATTAATTACAGCACTTGATAGCAATACCCGCCGCATATTTCGGCATCCGTTACGACAAACGACTACTCGTTTTGTTAAGTATACTGTTGTCATCCATTTGGCTCATACTTATAATCGTATATGTGATCCTCTTTATCACCAGTAGTGGAGGTATTCGTTAATTGTCTCTCAAATTGTCCTCAAAATATGCAACAATTTTTGCACTCTTTTCAGTGAAAACTGAGTTCAACAACAGATCTCTGCATCACTTGGTTTTGACGGCTTATTCAATGATAAACTTGGCGTTCATTGTGTTGTTGTCCATCAATATCATCAATGAGACCAAAGCTGATGCCACTAAACAGAGCCCTCGAGCGGCACAACAACCACCGCCCGGTGCGCCCGCCTCTCCCCCAGCGGTCATCATTAAACCAAAGCCAGTGACAGTTCCCACACAACCCAAGAAGTAATAATTATAAGTTTGATTACAAAATCGCACCAAAATTTGCTATTTTTAAATCCATTTCACATTTTTCTGTAAAGAATTATCATTTATTTGACTTTATTTACACTTTAAACATATTTTCGAAATAAAATGCATTAAATTTTAATTAAAAAACTTTAAAAACAATAAATTATGAGTAAAAACGTTAAATTATGAGTAAAAACATTAACATTAAAAACAATAACATTTTAAGTTAAAAAATAAATATATTTATAAATAATAAAAATTAACTTTTGTTTCAAAACATAACTTTAAATGTAATTAAAAAATACTATTTTAAATGAGATTTTAAGCGTCAATTGGTTTCACTTTTCGTGGCCTTCCCTTAGGTCTGGGCTGTCGTACGACTGCGTTATCGGCGCTCCGATTGGCCACCAGTGAAGCGAAGGCCAATTTGTCAGCCTTTGGTTTACGGCCGCGTTTTTTGGGCACTTTCACGGCGTTCGGGTCGATGTTCTCCTTGTCTTCGCTCAACAGATCCACCACTTGTTGCAAACACTTGTGGCTCTCGCGGACAGCGGCCTCGGGTTTGATTGGCAACGCATTCAGAGGCATAGTCTCGTCGGTGACCGCAGTTGTGGCCATAGTGTTAGTGTCGTTGGTGTCCATCGGCTGCTGCTGTGCGTACGCGGACTGCATGTGGGCGACGGCAGTGATGGCCGATCCGTCTTCGTTCTCGACAATCATATACTGGTAGCCGTCGGTTGTGGTCACGTATTTGGCGCCATTCTGTTCGTGCACTTCAAGCACTGTCGACGAGTCGATCGTCATATTAGTGGCCGAAGACATGTCCAGTGAGGTCGACGACGACTCGTATAACTGGTATTCGCCGGTCATTAGATCCGGATAGAGATCCAGGAGTCGGGCCGACATCGGCGGCGGAATTGCCGGCAAATAGTCCTACAAAAGACAATATATAAGCAAACGGTGGGGCAGTGGGGGTCGGGAGGGGTGAGAACTGACCGAACACTTAACGCCATCGCATTTGGAGAGATGTAAGAGAAAGGCGACGGTGTGCTCGAGGACTGTGGCCTTATCTGTCTTGTCGGTGATGCCGGGGACCAGCGATCGCAAGGCATCGCACGAGCACTTCATGCGCGACCGCCGCAGACGCTCCTTATGGTTGTGCAGTTGACGCGACTCCTGTGACGGACAGTACGGCCGTTGTGTGCGCTCGCCGTTCA